TTTCCAACCTAGATGATTCTATGATTCTATGATTCTATTTATTTGCATGCATTTATTTTGTTATTTTCTTTTTTTTCTTCCTAAGACCTTAATATATATCCCATTGCCAGTTGGATGCGAAGCAGTCATTTAAAACGCCCCAGGATAGGAAAAAACAGCCAGGAACCTGAACCTGAAACTTCCCAAGGAGATAAGGCAAATGCTCTTCGTGTGTCAGAAAACAGGTAGAGGAGCCCTTATTTTACTGATTTCTTATTTTGTTGCTTGGGCAGTCGCAAACTACATCAGTGTCTTGCAGTGTGCTATTTGGTATTTCCTCTCCTTTCTTCCTACTTGCTTGATTTAAAAATTACTAAAAATAAAGCGTGATGTGAGAAAGAAAATTGAGACATCACCTGAAGAGTGATTGCACCAAAACGTAGTGTCTCTGAAAGCTCAGCAGATACTGGAAATAACAGTAGGAAAACAATGAGGGCTGAGGGTGTCTGTTTATAACTGAGTCTGCGTGAAGGTAGAAACATCTGTATTCGTATGGCATAGTTTCTTGTGATAATATAACTACACATACCCACAATGCTATGTGTGATCTTTAGAGAGGTGTCCCTTCCTGACATTTTGTTATGGTGGCATATTGCAGTATAATAAAGTCTGACTGTTTAGTTTGGGAGCTGGTTTACTGCTTGTTGCTTAACAGAAGAGTTATAGGGAGCCACCAGTCTTCAAAATAGAGCCCTTTGTTTAGACAAATTCTGATTTAAAACCATCATATCCAAACTTACATCCTGGAAAAAAAGTCATCTCCAGTTTAAAGGATGTTATGCTGTGTAATAATTGTCAGATGGGGAGGTGAAGAGTTGTACCACTTGTGTGCCGTAACAATTCATACAAGACAGGGCCTGAAGTACTAATTTGCGCTGGCTTCCATCCAGAAAGCAGAACTGTGGCTATTTTAAATAAATAACTAAATTGGTCCTTCCTTTTCCTTCTTCTATGTGAGTATATGTATGTTCATAGACACATACCGCCCCACCCCGTGTCCCTCTCTCCCTCTCGTTCTCTTCTAAAAAAAACCCCACTGTAACCCCAAAAACCTCTTTTGAAGAACTGAAGATAACCTGATAGGAAATCCTTCCAACTTGTTCCATTAGGTTTCTTTAAACAAAATTAGTGTGTTTCCTTTTTATGTGAAGCCGAGGTCTTCAGCTAGATACAGCCTAATTTTTGTGTTTAAGTTGCTCTGTGGAACTACAGAGATACAGCACTGCTGTCTTGCACTGTTAGTGTGCTGCCCTACGCTGGTTCAGACAGGCCAAATGGCATGGTTTGACGCTGCCACAAGTTGAGAAATTTTTTGCCCTGTTACTACTAATAATTAGCTAGTTGGTATGTGAGAGGACACATGACACTGTTATTGAATGTCAGTATATTGGGCCTTGCCTTGCTTCATTGAAGTCAATGAAGTGCCACTGCTCCTTTGAGCAAGATGTGTAACATGGTGTTTGTGAGTAGAACTAAGGGGAATCCTGATGGCAACAGGGTAGGATATCAGCTGTAGGATATGAGCTTGGTTCTCTTATTCCATGCACGTTGGCAAAGGCAGCAGGGTCTTCTTTCAGGGACTTCCTCCTACGGAGTGTCTTCATCTCAAGACTGGCACCTGGCACTATGAGATTGTGAAGCAGCCTCCTCCAAATCTATTGCATGTACTTTTTCCTTTGCTTCTATCTAATATTTCCAGTTCATCTAAGTTTTACAGTCTCAAAAATGAGAACTGAATGTTTGAGATAGTGGTACTACCCATCAGGTGCATCAGAGCTTCATTTTTACCTATTTGCTAATTTAATCTACAGCTGATTGAATCATCTTCAGCCACGATGTGTTTATCGCCTTTAATTCTTTTCCAGTCATGGTCTTTGTAATATATGTATGTTCAATGATTATACAAACATACTTGCTTTTATAACTCTGTAATTTTAAACTGTTTATACAGTGGGGGTGGGAGAAGTTTCCTTTCTTACCCCTTTGTGGCTTCCAAATATGTAATGGATTGCTGCTTTCAAAGTTTAAAATAACAAACTTAAACTAATTTCTGACTTTTATTCCCAGAAAATGGAAGTGAGATAGGTGTCTTCATTTTATAATTGCCAAAGCAATTTTTCCTAGTTGATTTTTTTTCCTAATGAGAAGTTAGTCATTTTTAGATGTATTTAGTTTTATGGATTCTTATTTCCTATGGCAAGCATGTGATACAGCACTTTATAATTGGTCATGGAAGAATTTCCCTGCTGACATCACCAAAATTATGTTTTAATCTAAAAGATTAAAGGATATGTCTTAATACATGCTGCAGGCTGGAACTTCCTGCCCACACATCTGAAAGCTCTGAAGACTTAGTAGAAGTACCTGAGGAGAACACTTTTGAGAAGAATGAGGAAATGATTGTTGAAAATGAGGGCCAGTCTGTATCAGAAGCAGAGCCACATGCGTTCCCCCCTGAGAAATGGAGTGAAAAGGAGGTGAGCTGGATGTGATAGTGATAGCAGATAAGTTTGGAATACAACTGCAGTTTCTGTTAAATATGGTCCTTGCTGCCTCGATCCATGTGACTGTCAACTCTTTGATTTTCATACCAATGCTTCATTGAGAAGTGTATCTGAGAAGCTAAGGCTAGTATAGAACTAGTTTCAGGGAACATTCCATTATACTTATTTTGAACAATAGGGTTCACAAGATCTTGAGTAAGATGAATTTCTAGGTTGTCTACCAACCTAATTTTCTTAATCGATTTCTCCTACTCAGATATTCTAGAGAACTGGAGTAAGGTCAAGATCGTTTCCAGCATCTCTAATTTAAAAAAAAAAAAAAAGTTTCTTTGAAGAAGCCAATAGCTAGTATGCTCCAGTGACTACTGTTGGGTCTTTTTACTTCTCCACTTAAAGCTTGCTGGCTTTGACGTTTAAATCCAACTTTTATCTACAACTTGTTAACAGCTTGAACTTAAATCTGAGTATCCTTTGTACCTAGCGATGCCTCCAGGGTTTTATGTTCCTAGTGATTAATGAGAAAGCAGATCTTACACTATATTGGGTTCAAGGAATGACTGCAGCATGTATGCTTGTGAGATGCATAAAAACTGCTTGGCTTGGTTCCTAACAGTGTAAGCTGTGGTCAGAAATTTAGTGCAGGTGACACCACCAACCTAATATGCTGGTTAAGTTAGCTACTCTGCACTAAGCTCTGCCTTTTTAGGACACATTTCTAGGTACCCGAGCTATCTGCTTCTCACATTAAGCTGCAAATTTGGATCACAAGTACACCCACAAGTGTTGGGAAACAATGGCTGGGTGTAATCTTGACTTGGAAATGTGATTTTTTTTTTTTTTTTTAAGGGAACTCCATCAGAACCTCTTAATGGTGAGGTAACAGAAGAAACTGGTAAGACCTCACTGATGGCTGAAGAGGAAACAGCAAATGAAGTTCTAAGTGCTGAATCAAAATTGCAGTCTGAGAGTCAAGGAGAAGAACCCTTAACACTGTTTGTTCCACTAATCATTGAGTCTCCAGCAAAACCTTCAGAAGACCCTGTATCAGAGAAGGTGAGAGCATTGAAACAAAATGTGAAGTCATCTTTCCTTCAGAGTGTACAGATCTTGCTGGGTTTTTTTGTTTGTTAAGTAACAGCAACCTAGCTGTTGGTAGACCCTACCATCACATAAAATTAATGGGAGAAGCAATTATTAGGCCAGGTGATGTAAATCCATAAACAGAGTATACTAATGTTTCTGTTCTAATATGCAGAAGTGGGGCATATATGCATGTGATACCAAAAAGAAAGATACGTTGCTCCAGTTTGTCTTGGCAGTAATGAAACAGCTCTTTCTCACTAAAATATTCGTTGGATATGAGTGAAAAGCCACATCCTTATTTTGTCTAGTAATATTGCCCTGATGAAGTGTATAAGCAATTAATTACTGGTAAAATGCGCTTCTAGAACACATTATTTTACTGGTTTTTACATTATTTTACTGGTTTTTGTTTATAGTGCAAAAGCAGATTGTGATATGCTAGTAAAATGATAATTGTGTATGTCTAAAATAAAAAAAAGGTTGTGGTTTTTTTTTTTACCTGGGATTAATTTCAGGATGTTTTTCCTGTACCTGAATAATCCCTTGAATAATTTGAATTTGAAAACAGGAGAGCAACTCTGGATATCAAACATACTTCACAAAAGTCTTGGGCAAAAAGGAGGAAAGGACTGTACAAGTAGTATTAAAAACTGCTGAATGTCAAAATACCCTCCAAGGTTGATAGCTAGGGACAGTAGTTTTTCAGCCTCTTGTATCTTCAATTAATTGGCCCTTTGGTTGTTTTTGCACCCTTCCCTTCCTCCGCAGGTTTTAAATGCAAATAATTCCGAAGTGCTGACTGAAGAAAGTACATCAGCAGAGAAGGAGGGCACTGAAGAACAGCAAGAATCTGAAAAGACCACCACTGAAAATGCAGCTGCTTTGGCATTGAAGGAAGAGCCCTCTGACAATGGCCTGCCCAACTCTATGGTATCTGAAGCAGTAGAAGAATCTGTTTCTGAAAATGTATCGCCCAAAACAGCTTCCTCATTGGAAGATCAAAATGAGGAAGCAGGGCACAACTCACAGGAGGCCCCTGTTGCCTTGAGTCAGAGCTCTTTAATAGTGGTTGAACTTGAGGGTGTTTCTTTTCAGCAGCCTTCTGTACAGGAAGGACAGAAGAATCAGTTGGAAGAGCACTTAGAAGAGTCTGCTGAGCAGACGGATCAATACATGCAGACAGCAGCGGAGCGGGCTGCTGACAGCAGCTCTGAGGAGGCAGAAATTGAGGTACCCATTGTAGATCGGAGAAACTTGCGAAGAAAGGCCAAAGGCTACAAAGGTCCACCCAAGAAAAAAGGAAAGCCAGCTTAAAAATGAAATACTGATTGTTAATTCATCTATTTATAAGAAAGTTACTATTTTCTGTAAAACACTAGGGTGTAGCTAAACCATATGGGACGCGGGACATGTGTTTAAAATTCTGAGTTGGACCTCCTCTTGGGATTCATCACCTTTCCTCAGTTTTCTTGACTTTTTAACCACTAGACATTGAGCTTCATTAGAGTATGAAAGTAAACTCCCAGTCTCCTCCTTTTGTAAGGGATACATGCTGAATAAAAACAGTTGTGCTAGCAAAGGGAATAATTTGCATATTTGAGGTTGCAGTTGTGGAAGAAAAATGCAGCATGAAATCCTGGCCCTATCAAGGTCCCTTAAATTCCCATAGACTTTCATGAGGCCAGACATCACTCTAGTATGTGTTCCCTACTGTGGAGAAAAGCAGAACAAGAAAAGTCCTCGCTTCTTGTTCCCTCCCCATAGATTTTCTTGGATGAGATTAAAAGAATGAAAGATTCTGTAATTCTAGGTCTCAAAATACAGAAGGTATAACTCAGTAGATCAAAACAACATAAGCAGCATCTGTCTTTCATGAGAATCACTTGAAACAGCTGAGCCAGTAGCAGCATGGTCAGCACACTATCTGCCATAGCGCATTCTGATAATGAAGTTCTTTATGAAGATTAAGAGATGCCTGCTGCTATTCGTAGCTTCCAAAGCATGCATCTCTAAGCCTGTATTTTTCCAGAGTGTATGGAGTGTAGACTCAGTACGTACACAGAATCGTTTGAACTGCCTTCCTAACTACTTGCATGTGTTGAGTGGATGCTTGATTACCTGTTACATTACAGGGAAAGGATATGACAACTTTTGATCTCATTTTGGTCTGAATGGAAGTGGTTCTTTGTGTTTTCCAAATACTTGGCTGGTGCTGTGGGTTAACAAAATGTTGTGTCTGCCAGGTGTATGACTCCTGTGAGTGCTGGCATTTCAGGTCGTTGTGACATTCATTAGTGTGAATATTAGTGAGTGTTTCAGCAAATGCTTGTTTGCCAAAATTCTGTGCTTTTAGTTTAATTTTACAGTAAGTTACTCCTTAGTTTGCTGTGTGTTTCTTTCAATAAATGAAGCTCCTCTTGTAATGGGTTAAAAACTCAGGAATAACAAAGAGCAATGGTTCTAAGAACAGGAAATCACACCACTATTTGTCCTGCTATATGCCTTTTCTAAGATAAGTGAAGTAGTATCCCACAGTGACTCAAAAACAGAGGTATCTAGAAATTGCTGTTCAGGACTTCAGAGTACAAGGTTCACTTAAATAGTTGCAATGCTGTCTTAACTTTTATCCCTCTGTGAAGCTAATGTAAGAATCTGGGTTTGGATTTTATGCTTATACAGTTTAATTCTATTTATAAGGTATTTTAACGTGTAAGATACATTTGTACTATTTCTTTCAGCTAATGAAGTACCATCCTCCTCTTTAATCTGTTAAGAGCAGCTTATAGACAGAAGAAAAAAAGCTGTTTTTAAGAAATGTGTGTTACCTAAACTTTAGATTCAGGGTGCATGGGATTACTGAGTTAAACCTGGGTTTCTTGAAGTATTGCACACAGCTGTAACTTCCTATCAATGTATACATACAGGTACTCCTTATGAACCCCATGACTGGTAAATGTTTGTTTGTAAACATATTCAAGTAAACCTTAAGCATTTCTAACATTAATCAAGCATTTTCTATAAAGGACATAATACAAAACTTCTGTTATCTTCTGTATGGCTTCTCTTTTACTGCTAAGATTTATCGCGTTAAAGAGTGGCTAGGAAACACATCTATTGCATTGCTAAGAATTTGGGATTTGTGAGGGCTGGTGGCTTAAAAAAGGGTGGTTGTATACAGTATATTGTGACTCATCTTCCATTTTTAGAGCAAGCTTTACAAAAGATTAATCTGCCAAATACTTCAATTGATACAAATGTATCCCTTTTCAAAAAGTTAAGGATTCTTTTGCTTATGGAAAGTGAGTCCCAGTTATTTCAGTTACTTCTGGGTGGATTTTTGAAACATGTTTATTACTTGCATTCCCTGTGAAGTCAGAAAACAGTGTTCCTGAGAAGGTAGTGTCACTCATCTGGCCTTTACTTTTCATGGTTAGGTTGGAACTGGTGTTGATTAGTATATTTCTTTTAATATATTTGCGTATTTGATACATAAATGTTAAAATAAGATTATTAGATTAGGTCAGTCTTGGTTTCTACTGAGAACAATCAGATTTCTGATCTCATTTCAGAGTCCATTTTAAATACTGAACTTGAATTCACATATTTAAGTACAGTCTTGAGTACATACCTCTGTAAATCTGGGGTACCTGAGCTAGTAGCTGATGGCCAGACTGTTAGGTGCAGAATGTGGGCAGCTGGGGTGCAATTAGCAATTCTGATAACCCGTACAGACTTGAAAACACAACATTGTTCTAATTGTGATCACAGCAGTATTTTGAACTAAAGGGTGCAGTTTATTTCTGTAACACCTTCTTTGGCATTAATCATCTTGCAGTAAATATGGAGTAGCAAAATGAAAATACTGACTTTAAATAATAGTTTTTATTGCTGTATGGATTGTCCCATTGGAACAGCAGTTTAATAGTCTGTATCTTCTGTTACATTAATGCAAGGAAACATATCTGACAACTGTATTGACTGAAGTGTTTTACCTTGGGAAAACCAGCATTTTTTAGGCTTGGCCAATTTTTTTTTTTGTCTGTTAACTGTCTTATTACCATCAAGCTCTTAAAGAATTTTTAAGATCTTACTGCACCAGCAACAATTGATTAAAACATCAACTTTATACAAGTTTGTACCAAATGCTATTACAACATGCTGTGGAACTACATGTGTACAGTGAAAGCAAGCAGTATTATTTTTAAGCTTTATTTAGTCTAGGAGTAGAGTTTAAAGAACATTAATTTGTGACTTCAGCCTTGCACTTAAATGGTAAATGGTTTTGTATTTGAATCCAACATTTGTTCAAATGTCTCTCTTGTACTGCTTGTTAATTTTTAACAGGATTTGCTGTGCTTCTCCCACATCTCTTCTACTTTCATTTCATGCAGAATTCATGTTTGCTGTTCGTATGTTTCATAGCCCTTTACATGAAAATGTATACATGTCTTATTTCAAAAGTGCTTTTAACTTATTTGAAATTGACCTTGGTTTGTTGGATTTTTTTATACCATTTCATTTGTAGATGTCAGTAATCAAATTGATCATTTACAATGTCATCAACACTACTAAGTTAAACATAGCAACAAATAGGCCTAAGTTTCAGCTGCTCTGCTTTAAGTGATGATACCGGAATTTTACTTCCAAGAGGATACATGTCTAAACTTATTTTCACAAATGTGGTGTTAGATGTTTTCTAAAGTAGTGATGCCCTGTTTATAAATCTTAAGGAAGATGTGTTGCTATTCTAGAGTACTGTACTTAAGTCTTGTTACAGTGTTAGTTTTTCCTTTTAGTACTGTCTTGACAGCTTTTGAAATGTTTTGAAGTAGTAATTAAACTTCTATTTTGTGAGGTTTTTTTTTTCCTTGGTTTTTAGTATTTGAGTCCTTTCTGCTATACAAGAGGCATGTTTTAAAGTGGTTCAGTTCACTAGAACTAGCATTATTTTACAATCTGTCTGCTACCAAGGAGCTTTAAAAGCTTGAAAGATTATTAATTGAAAAATCTTTTACTGATTAAAACACTTTAGTGTACTTCATTAGCTTATGCATCAGACTCTTACAGAAAAAGGTGTAGAATAGTAGAATAGGCTGTTCTGAATGTTACAGCATGTATTCTGCTGTTTATACCAATTATGTAAGATGACGTAAACTTAGCACTTAATAATAGTTTGCTATAGACAAACCAATAAGAAATGCTGTGATGCACTCCCTAGAGTGTGGTACATTAAAAAGTCTTAAGTGTGACAGTTGTGTTATTCAGCCAACAAGTCATGTATTTATAGCAAAAAATGTAGTAATGTTCCTGAGACAGCTGTAGAAAATTAAACTATTCTGTTCACGTTATTTGTTAATGTGCAGTAAAGGGTAAGGCAACAAGAATTTAAACGGAGGCTTATCTGTTTTGACAAAATGCCCTCTCTCCAAGCAAAAGGCTTACTGGCTTGTGACCCTCTCTTAGTTTCAAATCACTTGTCACTATACAAAGAAGTAAAAATCATAGTAAGTTATTAAATCTAGACTAGGGCAATTTGTTAAACTAACAAAATAGCCCGTAAGAGGAGAAGACCTTGGTATAGTTAAAGTACTCTTACTCTGTCAGGTAGTGCAAGAGAAGTTAGAGAGCTGGTACAAAAGCAGCCAGCTTGACATCCTTGCCAGAGTTCCAGATCTGAAACATGGTCTGGTCATGAAGATGATTAAGGGATTGGAGCATCTGTCATAGAAGAGGCTGAGAGCTGCAATTGATCAGCCTGGAGAAGAGAAAGCTTGGGAGGCTCTTACCTTATGTACAAATACCTCTGGAGGGGTATAAAGAAGATGGAACAAGACTCTTCTCAGTGGTGCCCAGTGACAGGACAAGAGGCAGTGGGCACAAACTGGAATATAGGAAATTCTATTTAAACATAAAACACTTTAAACCATAAGATGGTCAAACACTGGATGAGGTTGCCCAGAGAGGTGGTGGAGTCTCCATCCTTTGGGATACTCAAAATGTTGACTGGACACTGTGCTTGGACACTTGCTGTAGTTGACTGCTTTAAGGAGGGGGCTTGCACTACAGTCTCATGAGGTCCCTTCCAACCTTAACCACTCAGTAATTCTACAGTCTGCTGCACAAACAGCTTACTGCATGCATGACCATCTCTAGCCTTAAACTTCTGTTAATACAAAAAAACCCAGTGCAAACCTATTCACATTCTGGCTTCTGAAGTATCTTTAGAGTTTTGTTTGAAAGTTTCCTTTTTACAATGTTGAGGGCTAAGAGTACCCTTAGAAACTGGAGAAAGATTATAAAGATTTGACTTGGAATTTGTGTTAAAAGCTCCTTGGCTTGAAATTAAGTATTACTTAAGAGTAGGAATATAAAATAGTGAGTATGTTTATTTGTAGTGATAGACTGTGCTATGTTTTTTTTTACTACCAAATTCTTGACTAGATTACCGATGCAGTTACATACAGCATCATGGAAAGCTTCCAGTTTAGAAGCAATTTTTGTTTCTTGTATTTTGAGGATGCAAGCTAAATATATATTGATCAGTTGATGCTTGTGACCTTTAGTCTTGAACGTTTCTTAAAGCCACCACAATAGTTAGAATTAGTTGTAGTATTAGGGTTGACACACCATTCTCAAATTTCACATCTTAAAACCCCTACAACTTCATACATTTAAACTTTGGAAACTGTTCTCCTCTTGCCTGGAACTAGAGTGCTACACTCTTCAGCCCTTATTCTTTCCATTAATGCAGTCATGGAGGCAAAGTGGAGAAAGACTTGGGGTGACAAATAGCTGCCCTGCTAGTTATCTTCCCCCCCACTGTATCCCTATGCTGCTAATGTGCTCTCGAGCCCCTGCATCTGTAGGGGCAAGTATCAACCTGAGTGTTTACTTTCTGATGTCGCTCTGCAGTAAGATTCTAGCTGCCTTCTTCCAGCTCTTCTGCTTTCCCAGAAGCAGAATAAGAGTTAGTATGTTCTTCTGTACCTTTAGCTATTACAGTAGGCCATCATGGCAGACAGTGGCTGTATTTCCCATCACACGTGTGTGCTGAATTAAGTATTTATACAATGTATCTAAGCCACAAAACTGCTATTGTAACACCACCAAGGTGGTTTAGATCAAATCCACACTATGTTAGCAAAATATGAAAATTGAATCACTTTATTTGGACAGTGTTCAGCCAAGCAAACATAATAAATATAAAAACCCAAGCAATCATTTCCGGCACACTTAAGTTCCTCACCAGCTTGTGGGGTCAATGTTCTTGAATGGTTGAGTGTTCCCAAGATCTTGAAAAATTGTTTAAACTGCACTGATTTTGCAGGAGCCCATATCCAACGTTTAGTATCAGACATGACTTAAACAAGTAGAACTGCATTAATACAGCCATCATTTTCTGGATTGTTTGTTACTTGTGCATATTTCCCTAAAGAGAAAAGGGAATGAGATGTCAACAAAAGCTTGAAGTAGTTCATATAGTAAGTTAGATATTTTTTATCTTTGCAAGTTCAATCCATGAGTCTCTCAAGTGTAAGGAATTGCTGTTCCAAAACTGAAATGCATTCTGAAATCTAAATCTACCTTCTGATGAGCTGCAAACTTAGGTTCTCAAAATATTTTATTCAGGCTGTTTTTTTATAAATGGATCATTCAGAGTTCTGGGTAGATTTAGGAAAAAAACCCAAAATCATATGTTCTGCTATTGCCCAAGTCAACCCCTCTGTTAAAAGAAGTCAGCATGATCCTTTGAAGATATTCTACACAGAACTTCCACAGAGAACATAATACAATTGTTCATAGTTCACATGGTTAGGTCTTTATAGACTTGTAGCACTGCTTAATGTGAGACACAGGCAAGCAAGTTGAGTCTTTGTTCTCAACTTCACCTAATTTGAAAGTGTGAACAGAAAGCCCAAGATTAAAACTTAAAGCTTGCATTTGAGAGTTGCCTAGTAGTTGCTTCTGCTACAGCCCAAACCTAACATTTAACAATAGATCAATTATGATGATAGGATGTGGTCTTAACAATACATCAGACAATGAAGACTTAAAACTTTTAAAAGTAGTTCTGCAGTATAGCTAGTTTAACCACTTACCCCAGATAACTTTGCCCCCTTGCGTCACCAGGCCGAGCTCACTCACATTCACCTCAATGACGGTACCCTTGGTAATTACACCCAGTGTTGTATACAAAGGAGAGGAAGGATTCTTTTTTACACCAAGGATAGGTAGGCAGAAAGTTGCTTTAAGTTCAGGATGTGTCACATGTGCCTTCTTGAAACGTAAGCCCTGTTGCATAAGGAGTATTAGAGTGAGTTAATACTTGCTTTAAGCCCTCACAACTCATCTAGTTTAACACTTTCAGCATTATGTCCTTAGCTTTATATGTTTTGAGAGACTGGGAAGAATGAAACAACTTAGAACACAGAAGCTATCTGCCTACTATAGAATGCCAGATTTGTTTAAAAACCTGACTAATGGCAAGACAAAGCTTTCCATGTATTTTTTCAGGATGCCAATTTTTAATAGTAGTACAAGAATACTACTTGCTACCTTTGATGGGTTTTGTTCCACAAAGAAATGAGGCATTTATGGTAACACATTTAACAGTGCTACTGGTTTTTAAGACTAGAAACTTTTCCTTTTTTCTTGTAAAACTGAAAAACCTTTCCAATATTGTAAAAATACCCATCTCTTACAGCACTTTCTGTCTAGCAACCTGTGCTTTGTAAAGGGTACTTTACCCATTAAGTACTATAAACTGTTCTTGCATCAATAAAAATCTATCCAAGGCTTCTGTGTAAGATGACCATCAAGACAGTAATGAGGTACAATCCAACAGGCAGCCTGCATATTGATTCTGTTGATTCCTGTGAGGAAACAGGAATGGGTATAGAAAAAATACGTTGTCTTAGTGAATCTAGTTTTTCCTCCTGTGCACTACCAGGCTGCTAGAGCCCAGGCACCGTTCCTGCAGCTGTATAAGAAAAGGTCAGGCTGGAGGCACAGCATTTCCCTTACATACAGTCATGACTGTCCTTCAAGCTTACTTAACAAGCCAGGAGGGAGTTCTGGAGTCCTAGAACAGAGTTGGATTCTGCAGCTGACAGAATGACAGCAGCTTGAAAAATAAGCCTCCAACTTTAAAGGCTACTCAAAGTGCCTTTGCTAAAGACCTTCCCATGCTAAATCGATAGTTCGTAGCTTTAACTTGCTGGCATCATCTGAGTGATGGGCGTAAGAGCAGAGATATTTCAACACAGACTGTGACTGCACGGGTGCTTCCCCACCCTCAGGCTATTAGACTTCTGCAAAGAAACTAAGAGGAACGTCCTACATCAGTAGTAATCAAGTGCATTATCATAGAAGAAAGTTTCCTCGCAACAGGAACTCAAAGCAGTAAGTCAGAAGAATTATTACTTAAACATTCTTTATGGCTCAAGAACATTACCATTGGCCGAATGAATCGCTCGTATTTAGGAGGCTTCCTAGTAAAGCCATCTCCAACAAAACAAACTTTTGTAACCATTCTCTTCCAGGCTTTCTTCTTTCTCTTTCCTGTACGAATCACTTTTAAAACTTCTGTTTCTCCTTGAGCACGGACCTTTGGCACAGGAACCTCCCATTTCCCCTGGAAGGGGGGAAAAAAAATGTCAATAGTCTTACATGCCACATTGCTAAGTGAAAGGGGACAACCAAAGCATAAAACAAAATTTCCCCAAAGAGTATTGGTAGACGATACTTTTTGTACTGCTCGTAACTACTTATTTTAATTAGCATTTAAACTTATGAAAATCAAGATATTGCATACACTTACTTTGTCCTAGATTGCTCAGTTACTCAAGGTTTTGGGTTTTATTTAGACTTTGCTTGTAGGCTGTAAGTCACCGCAGCATCAGCAACAACAAGTAGTCATTGTCACAAGTAACTGTAAATATCTGAATCTTAATAAAGTTACTTACGGCTTTTTCTTTCCTTTTCTGCTTGATCATGTTAGAGAGAACCTTAGCCCGGGACTGGCCCTCTCTGTCCAGCAGATAGGCTGGTACAGCTCCTTTAGGTGTTTTTTCATCATTCTTTTTCTTTGTATTTCTCTTTTCATGCATTTTAATGCTGCAAGGGAAGAAAACCAGTATTAAGAGTAGAAAAAAAGAAAAGGCTCATTTTTAGATATATCCTTTTAACTTAGCTTGTGCCTAGTCAAAATTTTCTTTTTAAGAGATATTCATAAACAAGTACACATTTATACTGAAGGAATAATCCTAAATAATTTTCAAGGTAAACTAGTGATTTCACTTATTGTAACAACTCACAGACTGCATAGTGCATAAAAGCTTGTCAGTTCCCATCAAGACAGGAACACAAGACATGCATCTTATTAAGGAGTTTCTGAATGACTTAAAACAAGTAGCCAAGCTCTTTGAGAGACAGTAGTCTTCCTCTCTGACAAAAAATAACATACGACTCCTCAGATTTGATGGCAGTGCTTACAAGTCTGAGGCACTTGTATGTGTAAAAGGGGTCCTGTTTTGTTAATTTGGAGGCCATTTAGTGGGGAAAAAAAAAAAAAGGACCCACAAACTGGTTAACAAACCCAACACCTTTGCAAGTAGCAGAGGAAAATAACTGTTTACACTTAGAAAACAACAAAACCAACATGGATAGATACTACGTTCACTAGCAATAAAGAATATTCTTAACAGCTTTGATTTCTATTTCTGAACAACAGAGAAAATTGTTTATCTATGCTTGATATTGTAATTTATCCTGGAAGACAAGCCTCATGTTCTGCTCAAACACTGTGTACATGACTGTAGTTTTTTTATTAACACTGTGTAAAAAAAACACCTGCTGCCTCCTGCTACACTAATACAGCAGTTGATGTAAATGCAGTCATATTTTTTGTCATAATTACGTTAGTCATTGCCATTGCTAATTAACACTTATCTTAAGGAATGCTTTTAGGAGCAGAACTGTTAACATCCATCGAGAAAGAGGGTAAATATCTTCACTGTGACAAAACCCACTTTCTCCTACAACCTGAGCACTATTTAAAGGTATAACGTATGATCCAAGTAGTTCTTTGCAGCGATATTAAGGTCTCATCTCATCCTTCAAATGTCAGGGTGACCGGACGGCGTCAGAGAAGCAGCGGGTACTCACGTCTTCTTCATCTGTATCTTCTCAGCGTGCCGCTGCTTGTGGTAGAGCTTGGCCTTCAGCCCGATCATCTTCTTGGCCTTCCGCGACCGCTCGTGAGGCTCGCGGCCCTCCTTCTTCCTCCTCCGCTCGTGGTAGTCCAGGCGGTA